GATGGGAATCCACCTTCTTTTTGGAAGATCTTGTTAAGAGATGAAGAATAATGGGATATTGGGTTTCTAGGTCACAAAAATCTCCCTAGAGCCAAGACAAAATAAAGTGGTTGAAAAGAAGATGAAAAAAAAAGATATTTTACAAAAAGTAGCTCCTGCTACTTATAGACAAATAAAGTGCTATCATGTCTTGCTCGCTAGGCGAGCAGAATGGTTCGCCTAGCGAGCCCTTCGCTTCTTCACTTGCTCCAGCGAGTTAGGATCTTTTAGGTTCTGGAAGTACTCGCTACCTACTCGCTGCGTGCTCGCCTAGCGAGCAATTCGCTACCTGTCTCGCTCCAGCTAAATCAACTCTTTTTGCTACTGCCCAAGTCTGAGAGTGTTCGCTGGCAGCTCGCTACATGCTCGCCTAGCGAACAACTCGTTCCTTCCCTCGCTAGGGCGAAATATGATCAATTTGATTCTGTCCAAGTCTGGGAGTGTTCGCTGGCAGCTCGCTACGTTCTCTCCTAGCGAACAACTCGCTACCTCTCTCACCAGAGCTCGCCTATCGAGCTTGCTTTTGCTTGCCTTCTTTCTTGATTCCTTTGTCCTCTTGTGTTTTTCAATTCTACTCTTTCATGCCTGATTTCTGCACATTAAAACACAAATTAAAGGTACCAAGATTATTTCACAAAATATTGCAAATCAACAAAAGCAAGGGCGATTTTGAATACTTTCTGGACAAAAAGGAGTGAAAGATGCCCACATCTGATAGCTCAAATAAGCAAAATTGGGCATCTAACACGCGCACAAACCATTTTCGACAACTGCCGCATCTGAAGTCGACACTCTCCTCCGCAAGATATGCCGCGACTCGCCAATTGATAAATTTTCTTAGCTTTTCTTGCTTTTTTATGATTAGTTGTTGTAATAATTTATGTTATTCCTGATGTTGGATTTATGTAAAAAAAAAATGAGGATGCAATTTGTGAAGTGTTATTTTGTTGATTGAGGGAGAAAAACTGAGTGTGAAGGAAATGAGTGCTTTTTTGTTTATATGTTCTAAAAAGTAAGTTTTTTTACTTTAATTTTGAAAGAGTTAATAATGCTTGCCACTTATTATTATACCAATTATTATTATTATTATTATTATTATTATTATTATTATTATTATTATTATTATTATTATTATTATTATTATTATTATTATTATTATTATTATTATTATTATTAAATTAATTTAGAGAAATTGATGTGGCCCCGTGTGAGTTTCATTTGTGAGAAAAATGGAAAAACATGTACACTATTGAGTTTCTACATATGTCTTTCCTAGTCCATGCATTTTGTTTTTTCTCCTTCCATTTATTATTATTTTATTTATTATTTATTATTATTATTATTATTATTATTATTATTATTATTATTATTATTATTATTATTATTATTATTATTATTATTATTATTATTATTATTATTATTATTATTATTATTATTATTATTATTATTATTATTATTTTGGTTAACATGATTATTAATAGTTGATGAAATGAAACCCATTAATTCTTTCTTCCTACACACCTTGAACTATTATATGCATCTTTGAGTTTATTTATTTTATTTGTCTGATTTTTTTATTATGGCTATTTTTTTATATTATAAAAATATAAAAATGCAAATAAATAATTGATATTTTAGGTTAAGACCATATTAGGACAAATTATGGATTATTAGAAAAATTAGGACTAATCATTGTTAGGACAATTAGGGCTCACAATTCATAAATAAAAATCCAAAAATACATTAATTATTTCTAACCTCTTTTCAAAAACTAAAAAACACCTCACACATCTCAAGCCATTTTTCCAGTTTGACTCTTCAACTTTAAACCCTTTTCAAACAGAATTAGACATTAATCATTCTTAATTGAGATATAATTCTCCTACCCCATGACATAATTAAGAAAGATGTTTATTTCTTTTCCACTTGAGAGAGGTATGTGACATACTCGTCAATTCTAAATCCGAGTTGAAGTCATTCTCCCCCTGACATTGAGCTAATAAAATTAATAACATTGTTGGTTGGGGAACTGTTTAGTGAAGATGTTGAGTGAGGTGATGAGAAAGTATATAAAATACTCAGAACAGAACTGTGATGATGAAATCGGAACAATCTTGAGAGATAGGTAAAAGGCAAACACCCTGGGTTTCCCGAATAGGAACGAGTTCGACGTGTAGATTTGTACCATAGTGCTTTGATTTGAGAAGTACCCCTGAGTAGTTTATTTTAACAATCAGGTTTCATCAATAAGAATCGTGTGTGCAAGGTTAATGAAAAATATTGAGCTAAGGCACAGAAAAAGAAAAAAAAACAAACAAACAAAAAGGGGCAATTAGGCGACTAATCCTTCTAAGTTGGGTAACCCTCACCCGGTTATTCAGCCCATCGGCGGTCGAACCTGAAAGCCATTCAAAAAGAATAACAGTGCCAGAAAAAGAAAAATGTCGTTGATGAATCTTGTGCACACGAGGAAAATCATAAAAGCCGTATAGTGATTGTCCGAATGAAAGGGAGGAAAATCAAAAAAGAAGACTTAAGTACAAAGCATAGTCAGAGAGGTTACCCATAGGGAGACTGAGGTCTGGGGTTTACCGCAGTCTAGTGTTTGCATGTTACCTGTTTTGAGGGAAAAGCCGAGATTAATCCTAGGGGACTTGGAATGAGAAGTTCAAGTATGAGTATCATCACCGTAACTCACAATTCTATGGACGTTCCGTTATGAAAAAGATATTAAGTTCGGTTTGGCGAGCTTTTTGCTTGAGGACAAGCAAAAGTTCAAGTTCGGGGGAGTTTGATTGGTGGATTTCACTTGTGTTTTAAAACGCTATTTGTTGTTAATTTCGCAACGTTTTTATCTGTTTTCGAAGCTTTAGTTGTTATTATCTGAATTACTCGTAGTTGTTTGTCTTCAAGTCTTATTTTTAAGTTTGTATTACTTTTGCCGCTGGTGCGTTTGATTCGGTTTCTTTTAGTGTGTTTTTGGCAGGAATGGATAGCATGACAGTCGCACCGCTTTCGGAGGCAAAGAAAAGTCGGAAAAGGGAAGTCAGAGCTACAACACGGGTACCCGTGTTGCACAACACGGCCCGTGTCATGGAGGACACGGTTGGCAGACACGGGTAGACCAAAGCAGAAGAAAAGGGGAATCAGACGTACAACACGGGTGCCCGTGTCATGCAACACGGCCCGTGTTGCAGCCCTTGGAGATGGAAACACGCCCTGAAGGAGTCATCAGCCTGACACGGCCACCCGTGTTGCACAACACGGCCCGTGTCAGGGCCACTGAGAGTGAAATTGTTATATTTTCTGATTTTTTGCTGTCAGACCTATTTCGAAGGGCATTTGAGACATTTCGCGATGTAATTTGAATTTAGATATAAGAGTCACTTTTTAGAAAGTAGGAGACACTTTGAAACTGATATTAGGATTGACAACTGAGAAGAGAGTTCTGCTGGAGAACAAAGGATCGATCAAAAGCGGAAGCAATTGATGATCCAAGGGATTCAACTCGAATTGTAATGATCTTCTCCTTTTCATTTCTAATGGCATTTATGTTTTCAAAGAACATGAGCAGCTAAACCCCAAGTTGTTAGGGGGTGGTCCTAAGTTGCGATGTAATGACTTTTGTTTGATTACTCTATGAGAACTATGTTATTAACTTTATATATTTTATTTTGCATTAATCTTACTACGTATTCATATTGGAAAGTAGAATTCGAATTATGCTTAGGTTTTAGTCTGGAAAGTCAACCTAACACTTTTGCAAAATAGTATCACGGTCGATATTGCTTAGGAATGAGGATACCCCGTATCACGTATTTTATGGTCGGAACTATTGCTTGATGCTTTTCATGGACACTGAGGTTACTTCCATAAAATTGGCGTATTCAATGATATTTGTATATTTGAAATTAAAACACCAATAAATTGGCGTATTCAATGATATTTGGATATTTGAAATTAAACCACTTTACAGAAGGTAAAGGATTTGTTTATTTTAGACAATTTAATTTCCAAGGTGGTTTAGTGACAGACATATGACTTTAGTGAATTTTGTTGAATTTATGTTTTCAATTTCAATTAATTTACTTTGTAGGTTCTACAAAGAGAAATTTTTTGATGTGAGCAACATGTATTGAAAGACATCAATGAAGCAATGATATGCTCATAGAGAATAATTTTTTTATTCTATTTCTACAAAGTAGAACAAATAGAGTTTGAGCAAACATGTAATAACCATGCCGTCATTGATATTTATGTCAAAGACATTGTAATTTCTTAAAAAAAGTTTGTTGTTGCATGGACAAATTGAGTGATTCCTATTGGTAGTACCAAGACAATCATGTATGTGACCCTATATTCAAATTTATAGGGAGATTCACAAATTCATAAATCAACTTTAAAACAAGCCACTTTATTCTCATGAATCAAGTTTATAAATTGAAGTCAAACATAGACATGAACATTAAGTGTGTGTGAATCTAATTATACTTTCTAACCATTTTGCAAACGTCTGTTATATTAATCTACGTTCTGCGTAGTTTAATTTGGTGTGTTTGTTTTAATTTTTCAACTGTTTTTGGGTCGCATTTTGATTAACTTGAGCCTTTTAACCAGGGAGAATTTATTTCAAAATTTGATCAAACGTTGTATTTTTCGGAGTCGTTTATTTCGCGCTGATAATTTTGGTGCATTTTTTTTCGAGCACTTCGATACCAGTCCGATTATTCGTTATTTGCGACCCACAACATCACCCAAAAACAACCATACTTCTTCTGCCTTCTAGTTTGAAAAAGAATAAACCATGTAAACTATTCATCATCTCCATACTCTCTCTTGACCTCACCAAAAGCCACGGCACCTAAAACCACCTACTTTTATTTTTTTCCGACTTCCTCCATCCATACATACACAACCGAAGAGCTACCAAAGACGCAGGTGATATTGCTGGTCTCAATGTTATGAGGATAATCAATGAGCCAACTGCGGCGACTCTTGCATATGGACTTCAAAAGAGAGCTAATTGTGTTGAAGAGAGAACTATTTTCATCTTTGATCTTGGTGAAGGAACTTTTGATGTGTCTCTCCTTTCAATTAAGAATAATTCCTTTGATGTCAAGGCCACTGCTGGTGACACTCGCCTCGGAGGAGAGGACTTTGATAATCGAATGCTGAATCACTTTGTGAAGGAGTTTAAGAGAAAGAACAAAGTTGACATTAGTGGGAACTCAAAAGCCTTGAGGAGATTGAGAACTGCCTGCGAGAGGGCAAAAAGAACACTTTCATACGATACTGATGCAACGATCGATATAGATGTAATATGTGAGGGTATTGACTTCTGTTCATCAATTACTCGGGCCAAGTTTGAGCAACTGAATATGGACCTCTTTGAAAAGTGTATGGAAACAGTTGAAAGTTGTTTGCTTGATTCAAAGATGGACAAAAGTAGGGTTGATGACATTGTCCTTGTTGGTGGGTCTTCTAGGATTCCCAAAGTGAAGCAACTATTGCAGGACTTTTTCAAGGGGAAGGAATTATGCTAGAGCATCAACCCTGATGAGGTTGTTGCTTATGGTGCAGCTGTCCAAGCTGCTTTGTTGAGTGAAGGCAGTAAGAATGTTCCAAATTTGGTGCTGCAAGATGTTATCCCTTTGTCACTTGGTATCAGAACGGAAGGAGATATTATGAGTGTGATGATTCCTAGGAATACTTGTGTACCATTCAAGAAAACACAAGGTTATGAAACAGCTTCAGATAACCAATCTTCAGTCTCAGTTAAGGTTTATGAGGGTGAAAGAGTTATTGCAACCGAGAACAACTTGCTTGGTTTGTTTAATCTCAAGGTTCCACTTGCTCCTCGGGGACATCCTTTCAAAGTATGCTTTACTATAGATGCAGATGGTATATTAAACGTCTCTGCAGAGGAAGAAACAAGTGGTAATAAGAAAGATATTACAATAACTAATGAAAATGGAAGATTGTCAAGAGAAGAAATTGAGAGAATGATCCAAGAAGCTGAGAATTTCAAGGATCAAGATATGAAGTTCAAAACGAAAGCTAAAGCCATAAATGCTTTGGACGATTATCTATTTTATTTAATTAACCTCTATTTAGTTTCCATTAGTTTAATTCTAAAACAAAAACAATAAAAACAAAGTTAAAAATAGTTAGTCTTTTCTTACCATTTTATTTTTAAATTCTAGGATTAGACTAATTCACCACCATTTAAAACTAATCACAAATTCATTATTCCAAGCCCAATTGTTTCTCGATATTCATTCGAACTCAACCTGCGTCACTTTGCTCTATTTGCTTAATATTATTATTTTATGTACTGTTAGAACACATATTGGTTCTTACTATATCTCAATGTTTTGATGATAACATTAATGAAATTTTGTATAAAGAAAATATATACTCTAATTTTGTTCAAGTGTTTTTGTTTCAGATATTAAATAAATATTCATCTGAAGACACAAAGTGAATTCCTATGAACATTATAACGCTAAGCTCTGAGCATAGAAATGCAGCCACAGAAGACTCTGAAGCGCTAGCTGCAGAAGACTCTAAAGCGCTAGCTGCAGAAGACTCTAAAGCGCCAGCTGCAAAAGACTCTGAAGTGCTACTTACAAAAGACTCTGAAGTGCTACCTACAGAAGACTCTGAGCGCAGAGTGCAAAGATTCAGTATATTCAGAAGACTCTGTGAGAACTAAACGCTACAAGTACAGAGGCTTTGAGAATCAAGTCTACTCTGATCAATTCACGCTAAGCACTTTGCTGCAAAACTCTGGATAGAGTGACTCTGATACAGAAGAACAAAGACACAGAGTTAAAAGACTCTAAATGAATGACAACTAAATTATATTTACATGGGTAATCACTAAAATTAAATATTTAAGCTCAATGTTATTTGTATTAAGTATAGTCACATTGTATTATGGTATAATAGATATAAACAATTTCTATATTATTCTTCTTCTACATCACCAAAATTTTGGTTTCTTCACCTCTAAGAAACTAAGTTAAGAGACTAGAAATGAATGGCCCATAATTTATACATATGCATAACAATTAAAATTAAATAATCAAGCTCAATATTGTTTATATTCATCGTGTTCACATTGACTTATGGTATATTACATATAAAAATATTCAATATATTTCTTCACCATCCCAAAGTTTTAAATTTTTTATCACTAAGCTACAAACATAATATATTATAGTAGATGTAAAAAATTAATTATATTATATTTTTCTACTCCATCACAAAATTTTAGGTTTCCCCCCTTAAAAAATAAGTTAAAAGACTATAATCCATGACATATTTTGTTATATAAAATAGGTAATTATTAAAATAAATAATGAAGCTAGAATTTATTGTTACTTACCATTTTCACATTGAATTATGATAATTTAGATGTAAATATATTCAATATGTTTCTTCTCCATCACCAATTTCATGTTTCTTCGTCACAAAGACACATGGTTAAAAGACTGTAAATGAATGACAAATAAATTATATTTACATGGGTATTCACTAAAATTAAATATTTAAGCTCAATGTTATTTGTATTCACTATAATCATATTGTATTATGGTAAAATAGATTTAAAAAATTTCTATATTTTTATTCTTCTCTATCACCAATATTTTGGTTACTTCGCCTCTAAGAAACTAAGTTAAGAGACTAGAAATGAATGGCCCATAATTTATACATATGCATAACAATTAAAATTAGAGTCCTCCCCGCTTGAGTTTTGTTGCATACACTTCTATCCACGGCCAGCTTTTAGCATATTTGTCACGTGTAAGAAACCTGGCATCAAAGACATGAGTTTTGGTCAAGACAGGAAATCATTATCATTAAAACAAATTCAAGAAGGAAAGTTGTAGCCATTGATTCCCAAAACAGAAATATATTTCAAATAAGCATGGAAAGCAATAAACCCGCTCAGGATCATTCAATTTGTTTCTAAAACGCCATTCAACATGTCAACACTAAAATGGCAAGAAATCCCTGTTTGTACCATGAGTAAAGGGAAAGAATCAACACCATTCAATTTGAGGAATCAATTTGGTGATTCAGTTGAGACTATAAAGTCACACCACGGTTCAGGATCAAGGGGGTTCAACAGATTCACAACAAAAATTCGAGATACACAAATCCCAAATTAAAAAAAGAACCCTAACATCCAGATTCGCAGAAACACAGAGCAAAATCATTAAGAAAGAGGAAATCCAAGGAAGCTTATCTTTTAACTCCTCCCGAAACCACCTTGAGGTCGACATCGTTGGAAACCGCTTTGCCCATGTAAATATAATTTATTTGTCATTCATTTACAGCCTTTTAACTCTGTGTCTTTGTGACGAAGAAACATGAAGTTTGGTGATGGAGAAGAAACATATTGAATATATTTACATCTAAGTTATCATAATTCAAAATAAAAATGGTAAATATTAATAAATTCTAGCTTGATTATTTATTTTAATTATTACGTATTTTATATAAAAAAATATGTCATGGATTATAGTCTTTTAACTGTGTTTTTTCATGGGAAAAACCTAAAATTTTGTGATGGATTACAAAAATAAAATATAATTAATTTTTCACATCTACTATATAATATTATGTTTTCAGCTTAGTGATAAAATAATTTAAAACTTTCGAATGGTGAAGAAAAATATTGAATATTTTTATATGTAATATATGCTAAGTCAATGTGAATACGATGAATATAAACAATATTGAGCTTGACTATTTAATTTTAATTGTTATGCATATGTATAAATCATGGGTCATTCATTTCAAGTCTCTTAACTTAGTTTCTTAGAGGTGAAGAAACCAAACATTTGGTGATGGAGAAGAAGAAAAATATAGAAATTATTTATATCTATTATACCATAATACAATGTGATTATACTTAATACAAATAACATTGAGCTTAAATATTTAATTTTAGTGATTACCCATGTAGATAAAATTTATTTGTCATTCATTTACAGTCTTTTAACTATGTGGCTTAGTGACGAAGAAACATGAAATTTGGTGATGGAGAGGAAACTTATTGAATATATTTACATCTAACTTACCATAATTCAATGTGAAAATGGTAAATATAAATAACTTCTAGCTTCATAACTTATTTTAATTATTACCTGTTTTATATAAAAAAATATGTCATGGATTATAGTCTTTTAACTTAGTTTTTTAGTAGGGAAAAACCTAAAATTTTGTGATGGAGAACAAAAATAAAATATAATTAATTGTTTATAATCTACTATAGCATATTATGTTTTTAGCTTAGTGATAAAAAAATTTAAAACTTTGGGATGGTGAAGAAAAATATTGGATATTTTTAGATGTAATATACCATAAATCAATGTGAATACGATGAATATAAACAATATTGAGCTTGATTATTTAATTTTAATTGTTATGCATATGTATAAATTATGGGTCATTCATTTCTAGCCTCTTAACTTAGTTTCTTAGAGGCAAAGTAACCAAAATTTTGTTGATGGAGATGAATAAAAATATAGAAAATTTTTAAATCTATTATACCATAATACAATATGATTATAGTGAATACAAATAACATTGAGCTTAAATATTTAATTTTAGTGATTACCCATGTAAATATAATTTATTTGTCATTCATTTACAGTCTTTTAACTCTGTGTCTTTGTGACGAAGAAACATGAAGTTTGGTGATGGAGAAGAAACATATTGAATATATTTACATCTAAGTTATCATAATTCAAAATAAAAATAGTAAATATTAATAAATTCTAGCTTGATTATTTATTTTAATTATTACGTATTTTATATAAAAAAATATGTCATGGATTATAGTCTTTTAACTGTGTTTTTTCATGGGAAAAACCTAAAATTTTGTGATGGATTACAAAAATAAAATATAATTAATTTTTCACATCTACTATATAATATTATGTTTTCAGCTTAGTGATAAAAAAATTTAAAACTTTCGAATGGTGAAGAAAAATATTGAATATTTTTATATGTAATATATCCTAAGTCAATGTGAATACGATGAATATAAACAATATTGAGCTTGACTATTTAATTTTAATTGTTATGCATATGTATAAATCATGGGTCATTCATTTCAAGTCTCTTAACTTAGTTTCTTAGAGGTGAAGAAACCAAACATTTGGTGATGGAGAAGAAGAAAAATATAGAAATTGTTTATATCTATTATACCATAATACAATGTGATTATACTTAATACAAATAACATTGAGCTTAAATATTTAATTTTAGTGATTACCCATGTAGATAAAATTTATTTGTCATTCATTTACAGTCTTTTAACTATGTGGCTTAGTGACGAAGAAACATGAAATTTGGTGATGGAGAGGAAACTTATTGAATATATTTACATCTAACTTACCATAATTCAATGTGAAAATGGTAAATATAAATAACTTCTAGCTTCATAACTTATTTTAATTATTACCTGTTTTATATAAAAAAATATGTCATGGATTATAGTCTTTTAACTTAGTTTTTTAGTAGGGAAAAACCTAAAATTTTGTGATGGAGAACAAAAATAAAATATAATTAATTGTTTATAATCTACTATAGCATATTATGTTTTTAGCTTAGTGATAAAAAAATTTAAAACTTTGGGATGGTGAAGAAAAATATTGGATATTTTTAGATGTAATATACCATAAATCAATGTGAATACGATGAATATAAACAATATTGAGCTTGATTATTTAATTTTAATTGTTATGCATATGTATAAATTATGGGTCATTCATTTCTAGCCTCTTAACTTAGTTTCTTAGAGGCAAAGTAACCAAAATTTTGTTGATGGAGATGAATAAAAATATAGAAAATTTTTAAATCTATTATACCATAATACAATATGATTATAGTGAATACAAATAACATTGAGCTTAAATATTTAATTTTAGTGATTACCCATGTAAATATAATTTATTTGTCATTCATTTACAGTCTTTTAACTCTGTGTCTTTGTGACGAAGAAACATGAAGTTTGGTGATGGAGAAGAAACATATTGAATATATTTACATCTAAGTTATCATAATTCAAAATAAAAATGGTAAATATTAATAAATTCTAGCTTGATTATTTATTTTAATTATTACGTATTTT